GAAGCAGCCTGATTTTAAAAATGTATAAATTACGGCATGTTGTCCGACGACAGTGTGTAAAAGTCACTTGCACCGCTTCTCCTGTTAAAATGGTAAAGCCCTCTAGAGTGTTCAGCATTTGTATCACTACACTTGATACAAATTAGCCAATTAGCTTTGTCAGTCTGGGCTGCTGCTGCTAGCTACTTTTGGAAACAGCAGGCAAACATGTGGCAAGCCAGCCGATGGGAAAGGAGAAGACAATGAGAAAAAGAAAGCAGAGAAAGTGTGGACTGCTGGACGAACTGTGGTGAACTGGTGAAAGAAAATTAAAATGGTGTGCTCACATTTGAGTATGTTTGGCTCAACCTGCTGCAATGAAGCAGGATTCTCCACCATGAACAGAATCAAAAATAAATATCGATCCAGGCTCAAAATGAGCACCTTGATACGTGCTTGAGAATGGCTTTGTGTCCATTAAAACCCAGGTTTAAAGCCTTGCAGGTCAGCCTAAAGACCACTGCTCTCATTAAACAATACAAAAGAAAGAAAAAATAACAAACGGTCAGTTTAGGTGTTTTATGAAATATATAAATCAGGAAATTGTCTATATACCAAATTGAACGACTGTTGTTCTCTACTCTAAAAAAATGTTTTTAAATGGAAAATGTTTCTATTTTTCTTTTATTTTTCATTTAAAAATTCAATGTATAACATGGATGCATAAACACCTCATCTTATTTCAGTGTTAAATTCTGTTTAAAGTAATGGATTATAATTAAAAATCTCGGAGGATAACCCAGGACACATTAGAGGGACTATGTCTCTGTAATGTATCTTATGCAATGATTCCTTGTTTCGTAGTAGGCATTAAATCATGATGTTCAACACATTCTTTTAAGGCTTTGAATAATAATGCTCTTAATTTCCCAGAAAAAGTGCATAACTTTTTGAATGTGAAGTCAATTCTAGGAATTCTTTGTTTAAATCTTTCCAAAAAGGATATTGAAGCTGTGATGGGATTAAATTGAGTTCATAGAGATCTCTTTGGCATCTCTGTGTCAGATCACAAAGAGACACAAAAGCTGAGAAAGTCTGAGAATATTATTAGATCTTGTTAGGATATTTTTTACAACTTGAAAGGAGTGCTTGTGGAGAGCATACAATATACTATATACAATGCTTGCGGGTTTTTGGGAGTTTGACCAGTCAGTCCACATGTGTTTTGTGGATCTGTAGAAGGATTTAGAATGTGTCCCTCGTGGTGCCCTGTGGGCTGTGCTCTGGGAGTACGGGGTCCGCAGTCCTCTGTTAAGGGCTGTCCACTCTCTGTATTAATGCAGCAGGAGCTTGGTTCGCATTACCAGCAGTAAGACAGACCTGTTCCTGGTGTATGTTGGTCTCCACCAGGGCTGCCCTTTGTCACCGGTTCTGTTCATTACATTTATGGACAGAATTTTGAGGCACAGCCAGGGACTGGAGGGTGTCCCGTTTGGGAATCTTAGGATATCATCTCTGCTGTTTGCAAATGATGTTGTCCTGTTAGCCTCATCAAACCAGGGCCTTCCATGTGCACTGGGCGGTTTGCAGCCGAGTGTGAAGTGGCCGGGATGAGGATCAGCACCTCCAAATCCTTGGCCTTGATTCTCCATCGGAGAAAGATGGAATCCCCTCTTCAGGTCAGTGGAGAGTCATTGTCTCAAGCGGAGTTCAAGTATCTCTGGGTCCTCTTCACGAGTGAGGGATGGATGAAGCATGAGATTGATAAACGGATCGTTAAAACATCAGCAGTGATGCATTCGCTGTATCAGACTGTCGTGGTGAAGAGGGAGCTAAGTCAGGGGGGAAAGCTCTCGATTTACCGATTGATCTTCGTTGCCACCCTCACCTATTGTCATGGGATCTGGGTAATGACCGAAAGGACAAGATCACAAATACAAGCAGCCAAAAGGAGTTTCCTTCGCAGGGTGACTGGGCAAACCCTTTAAGGTTGGGTGAGGGCTCAGTTACCAGGGAAGAGCTGGGATTATAGTCATTGCTTATCCATATCGAAAGGGTCCAGTTGAGGTGGCTCGGGCATCTGTTTTGGAGGTCTCCTGGTTTCCACCCTCGGGAGTTGTTTCAGGCATGTCCCATTGGGAGGAGGCCTTATGGAACACCCAGGGCATGCTTGAGGGACTATGTCTGTGAGCTGGCCTGGTGTCGCCTCTGGATCTCCCCAGAGCAGCTGGAGGAAGTGTGTGTGTAGACTGGGAAGTCTCTCTGCTTAGACTACTGCCTCTGTGACCCAGCCCCAGATAAAGCGGACGAAAATTGATTGATAAATATGATATATAGCCATATACTATATACACAGTTGACTGTGTGTTAGTGTAACTCAGGAGGTCTGGAGATGCTACGTCAGTATAGTTTCTAGGTCCTTAACAGGGGAGGGAGGGAGGCAGTGTCAGTGTCACGGGGTCTCTGGGCCTTCTTGATAAGGTTGGTAGTGATATAGAAGAAACTGCTCTTGTGGCGTGAGATTTTGGTCATGATGAATCACCACCTCCTGCCAGAGGGAAGTAATTGAAATAGTTTGTGGCTGATGTGCGAGGGCTCAGCCACAATCTTCCCTGTATGCCTCAGATACCTGGAGGCACACAGATCCTGGAGAGATGGAAGATTGCAGCCAATCGCCTTCTCTGCAGACCAGATGACCTGTTGCACTCTGCCCTTGTCCTTGGCGGTGGCACCAGCGTACCAGATGGTGATAGAGTAGGTGAGGATGGACTCAATGATGGAAGAGTAGAAGTGCACCATCATAGTCCTTGTCAGGTTTAATTTTTTCAGCTGCCGCTGGAAGTACACCTTGCTGGGCTTTTTTGGTGAGGGAGTTGATGATAAGCTCCCACTTTAGGACCTGAGAGATGAAAGTTCTTAGAAAGCAGAAAGACTCCATAGTGTCAATTGTAGAGTCACAGAGGGTGATGGAGATAGCTGGGGCTGAGTTCTTCCTGAAGTCAACAACCCTCTCCAATACTTTTAGAGCGTTGCGTTCCAGGTTGTTCTCTCTGCACCAATTAGCCAGATGGGCAACCTCCCACCTGAAGGTGGACTCGTCATCATCAGAGATAAGTCCAATGAGAGTGGTGTTGTCCGCGAACTTCAGAAGCTTGACATACTGAGGACTGGGGGTGCATCTATTGGTGTAAAGGGAGAAGGGCAGAGGAGAAAGAACACAGCCCAAGGGGGAACCAGTGTTGATGAGCTGGGAGTCTGAGACATGTTTTCCCACCTTCACATGCGGCTTCCTGTCAGACAGGAAGTCTGTAATCCACCTGCAGGTGGAGTCAGGCACAATCAGCTGCGAGAGCTTCTCCTGAAGCAGAGCTGGGATGTTTTTATTGAAGGCAGAGCTAAAATCAACAAACAGGATGCTGGTGTAGATACCTGCGGAATCCAGGTGATGGAGGATGTAGTGAAGGGCCAAGCTCTGTAGGAATACTGTTGTGGTCCAGGAGGGGGTCGGCGATCTCTTTCAGGTGTGAAAGCACAAGGTGCTTAAAGGACTTTATAACTACAGAGGCCAGGGCGACACGTCTAAAGTCATTAGGTCCTGTCAGCTTTGGATTCTTGAGAATAGGGATAATACTGGAAGTGTAACAAGTCCTTATTTCTTAGGGGGTTGATCACAAACTATTTGAATTTCAACAAGTTTAGGAAATATATGGAGTCTTTTTCAACATTTCTCCCCCTCCTTATTTTTTGTAGCAGGGATTAAGAACCTCTAAAAAAATGGCTTTTGTAAGGTAAAACCTAATCCTGACTATAATAATAAAATTATACAAAAATTACACATCCACACACATATTGCAATCAGTCGTCTTTGCCCTGCTTCTATTTAATGCCAGTAAACAGTCTTACCACTACTTAACACATGCAATATGGTTAACAGGCTATGCAAGTTTGTACATATATATTCCCTGCATATACATGTTAGATTTTGAACTGCTCTAATAAAAATAAGTTTTAATGCAAAACAAAAACACCCACAAACAATAACCCTACACGCAGTAGTTGTCAATATACTTCACCTTTTGAAAGCTACAGCAGGGAAAATGAAGAGCAAGTACAGACTTAATGCAGATATGGTAAATTTAAAAAGAATCCATTTGTAAATTTTTTCTCACCTCACCATAATTTCCATTCAGATGTGGAGGGCGTGGCCCTAGGAAGAAGGTAGTTAGTGGAAGCACTGGCACTGGTACTGGGATCTTAAACGTTGGGTACTTTGGTTATTGGTTAACAGTCGATTAAGCACTCTGTCCTAATAGCAATTATTATTATTATTTATTTTTTTAATGATAATATTGAGACGAGTGGCATGAGAGAATATTGTAAATATTACATTGATAATCAAGAGTAACTTTTTGGTTCACAACAGGGCAGAAAAAGTCAATATTGCACTTTCAACCCTTTAAATATTTTTTTTGCATTGTCTGATTGTTGTAAACCAGTCTCTAGACGTCGGTAGTCACAGCATCAAAAAGTTTGGGAACTCTGCTATAGTTCATTTGACCATCCAGCCTGAACGCACAGGAATATGTTGTATCTGCCTAGGCTACTGTCTTTGCAGTACTTTATAACTTCTGTTCATTTGCATATTTGCAGGGAATTTGCACTCCTCAAGCCAACCGTACTAAAAATACATTCTTTGTACATTATGAATAAGACTTTAGACTCTATAGCTTCACTTATCTATCTAACCCAGTATTTCCTCCTCAGTTCTGAATATAAAATAATCTAGTTGTGCAAAAATTATTACTCTTAAATAGAAAATCACAACTGAGAGTGTGAATCCACGAAAGAAAGATACATTAGGACCAAAACATCATTTTTTTAAAAATGACCAGCATCCTGCGTCATTCTGCCTTAAATGGATGAATTTATGGAAACCGTTCCATAGTGGATGTAGCTGATCTTATCTCGATAACTAATGATTGATCAAAAAAATGTTTATCTTGCAGTTTCTCTTTTTCACCATGGATGAGTTTGTTCAAGATATATTAAGTCAGTGGGAACTAAGTGAATGGATATACAGATTTAAAGGTAAGCTTTAAGTCAGTGTTGCAAGCTCTGTAATGTATCTGTAATATTCTGCCTTAAAGCAATAGAAAGACAAGACAGCAATATCACAAATTATCTTGTTATGTCAAGGAAATATTTAGATCAGTAAAAAAGAACAGGACTATCAGTTTTCTGTTATTGCCTTCATAGTGTTTTAAACAATGCAAACATAAAAAAACAATTGTGTGTAGGTAAGAATTAACAAAATGTGATTTAAAATTTTTTTTTGCAGATCACGCAGTAGACCATGAGAGTTTTTATTATCTTGAAGATCAAGACATCAATGAGCTGATTCCAAAAGTCGGACCAAGAGTTAAATTCAAGAAGAGACTCAGGCAGTTAAAGGTAAAAGACAAATAAGAAAGTGGCTATCATATCCCTACATGTCTATAGATTATGCTGTTTTAGGTTCACTTAAATTATGACCATCCATCCATCATCCATCCATCGACTGCAGCTTATCATCAGGGTCAAGTGTGGCTGTTGAAAATATCTCCAGGAGTCAAAGTTTTAAAGACAGGGTACTCCCTGTCAGTCCTTTGCTGGGTCCTTGTGGATATTATAGCAGATTATGAGATCAAGTGTGGACATTGATGGTGTTTACAGATAAATCTTAATTTATCATTATTATTAAATAACTGTTTTTAAAGACTAACAGTCCCCTGGTTTGCAGAAAAATCCTTCTAACCAGCAACAAAGACCACTGCCAGATAAAGATGATCTGTCCTTGGTGTAATTTGTTACATTTTCTTTTCATCTTTTATCCCATTATACACAAACTATTTTCTTTTCTTGAGGCTTGAAAACTATAACCATTTTAATGATTTAGGAGTAATGTTTTCCCTGTACTCTTGCTTTCAAGTGTTGGCCTGCACTTATATTTTATCGGAAAGAAACATTATCCTTAAGAACATTTGAACATTATCAAAGCCTACTGAAATTGGTTTGAGTTATTTCTCTGCTTTTTCCCAAGCCTTTGCATTCATCAAGAGTTACAGGTAAGCAGCACAATATGTCATACTATGTTTTGTACAATATGTTTGTCTTATGAAACAATCCTATGAAAATTGCAAACATAAGATCTATTTTTCTAACTAGGAAAGAGAAAGCTGGGCATTGAGTCTAGTGATGATCAACCTGCAGCAAAACAACAGTGTGGGGCAGACCAGTTTTCAGGTTTAAACAACATTTACTGTGGAGCCTTGTACAAGTTGAAACTGTTTATACCACAAACTTAACAGCATGCTGGTGGAATTATAGACAAAATGTTTTTCTTTTTTTGTGTAACCTAAGAAATAAAGATTCATTTGATTTTATAGTTGTGAATAACGATCTTTGGTCCTGCTCATTTTTAACAGAAGAATCAATAGAAGAATCAATATTGTCTGAAGTGAAAAAGATCATGGTGAACGTCTATGAAAACCTGCCCAAAAAAGATTATACCAAGCTCATTAATTTCCTGAAGTGAGTATTTTTTTTCTTCGTTCATGCAATAGTCCTATGAAGCTTGGGAAGCATTTTATTAATTATTAGTTAACTCTATTATCCTAATTACCCTCATAATACTAAAAAGGTTATTCAAATTCCAACCTTATTAATCCAAGAACCTGTGCATTATGGTGAAATTAAAGGTCTCTAAAATCACACAAATCATCAAAGCTTGAGTGGAAGTTGTGCTATTGACATGCAGTGTAAAGCAGTTATTTTATGTATAAGAAGAGTAAAATGTAAGAGAGAAGTATTCACACTCTATAGTGTGAGTTGAGGTCAGTATTTTGTTTTCCTGCAAAACAAAATCAGAAGTTTTTTTCCAACTAAAAAAATTAGTTGGCTGTCTGAAGCAAAAGAGAATATGTCACACCAGAGACTGCAGCACATGATAATGATTTTGATCCGCATAAAAAGGTGATGAAAAAGGAGCTTAAGCTGACCTTACAACACTAGTTTCATTGCAGAAAACAGGTTAAACTGATATTCTGAAGGACACAGAATGACATTCTGTCATGTTTGGCTTAAGGTTCCTAACCCACATGCAGAACACACTGAAGCAGGAGAAAAGTTCTAAGGTTTATTGAAATATTTCTGTACAAGGAATAAACAGATCCAGGGGTTAATCAGATCCAGGACTGGTCATGAGTGGGTCCACTGCAGAGGGGGACAGTGGAGTTAGTGGATGTCCAGGTAATTTGCAGGATGTGAGTGAGCAGGACAGTACCTGTTCTGGATTTAGAGCTGAGGGGGGGAACCTTGATGGTCCAGAGGCTGTCGGCAGGCTGAGGGCTTGGCGGAGGCACAGCTTGGTTTGAGTGTTTGCTG